TGTATGTGTGTGTGTATGCATGGTGTGTTTGTACACACAAATACACACACACACACACACATACACACACCGTAATCACACATATACACAGACAAGTATTTACTAGCTCTGTCCACTGAGATGTCCTAGAAGCAATGACACTCGAGTAGCAATGATCATACCAAACTCCCAGATTTCACTTTCTAAATACTATCCGCCACTGTAATCAAGCAGTTATCCTTGAAGAAGTGGTCAATTTGAGAACTGGGACAGGGAAAGTACCTAAGTCTCCTAAGAACACAAGCATGAGAAAAATGAGAAAAATATCGAACTGATCCAAGTTGAGAACATCTTTCATAATAAAAGCCCTGTCATTTTTTAAGACTGTCAAGTATATGAGATTGGGAAAGACTGAGGAACTATTCCAGACTGAAGGAGACTGATGAGACATGACAACTAAATATAAGACATGTTCTCAGAAGGTTTCTTGGACCCCAAGGAAAAAAGAAGCATTTTTTTGAATGGTTGATAAAATCTGAATGGGTCTGAGGACTGCATGGTACTGTTGTATTAAGGCTGGTTTTCTGATTGGGAGGCTGCATAGTAGTAATATAGAAGCCTGCCTTTGCTTGAGGAAGTACACTCAGGAGTACTTAAGGATAACAAGGCATCATGCCAGGAAAAAATATAAATAGAAAAAAAAAACAGAGAAATAATAAATAAATGCAGGAAAAAGTTAACAATTGGGGAATCTGGGTAACAGAGATGTAGAAAGTGTTTTGCAACTTTTCTATAGGTTAAAAACTATTTTTTTAATGACAATAAATCACTCTTCAAAAAATGAATGAAAAATAAAACTATAAATTTATTTTTCAAAAAAATATATAGCCAAGTATTCAGGCCAAAGACAATGTGAGTTCAGGTAAAATATCAATCAACAGACCAAGACCTTTTAATAATAAACTTATAATTAACTCTTCATTGAAGAGTCTGGGAGGAAAAGAGACTGAGTCTACCGGGGAGAAATCAGGACAACTTGAGAGACCATAGGTGGGTGATTGCGAACTGGGGGAGATAAAACAGGCCGTGTAGGCACGGAGGGGAGGGATCCCCTTCTACCCACAGACAAAGGGAAGAGAAAGAGCAGCTGGGGAAGCGTAGGGGTGTATCTGGACAAGGGAAAAAAAACCTTGGACTGGGATGGAGAGGGGTCCCATCTCTAACTGCAGGTCCCATCTTTGGACTGGGGCCCGCTGCCCCGCTCGCACACCTGGGGAAGAGGGGAGCCACCCGGGTTCAGCGGTAGATCGGGGTGCAGTCTGCAGCAGGAGAAACCGGTTCCCTCCCCTGAAGGACTCCGGCACAGGACAAAACCAGCCGGGACCTCGTATAGGGAGGTGCTTACCCAGTACTGGGGCACACTGAGTGGGAGTTTAACTCCCAGCCAAGCCCCCGGGGCAAAGGAGTCATCGGAGACAGACCGTCTCCTCTGCACCCACGGCACAGTGAGGATGGCCCCAAAGGAGTGATTTGACACACGGGGTCATGGAGAAGAGACTGGGAGCCGCCATTTTTCTTCCCACCACCGCCAAGGTGGGGCCTCAGGTATTCGTCTGCGGGGCCCACAGTGGAGGTGGGACCAGCCTACACCAAACCACGCCCCTCCAACGCTGGGTAACTGCGTATCTTTTGGAGTGGGATTGACGCTGTGGAACCAGACGGCTCCATCCTCCAGACCGGTGCTATTGCGTAGCCTGGATTAATTCTAGAACAATTCTTGTTATTTAGATATATTCTCCCCCCGACCCATTTCTCCCTTTTATCTCTTCCCTCCTGTAGGCTGGGTACTTTGGTTATTGGTTTGTTTAAACAGACATATTTAATCCATTCTCTTGATACATGTTCTACACCTCCTTCTTTACACTCCTTTCTCTCTCTCTGGAATAATCAAGCCATATAGTTTCTCTGTCTAACTTTATCTTCGTTTCTTTTTCCCTGCCTCCTTTCTTATTTTCCTTTTCTCTCTCTCTGGATTAAGGCTTTTAGTCCCTCTGCCTGGTCAATGTTTATTTTTTCTTTTTCCCCACCCCTGTCATTTCTCTCTCTGTATGTGCTCTTCCATCAGCATCGCCTCCACCCTGTTCTTTACTTGTAGCTGGTGTTTCTGGTTTTTTGCTTTTGGATTGTTTTTAGTTTTTAGGTTTTTTGTTTTTGTTTGTTTGATTTGTGTGTTTTGTTTCCTGTTTGTCTGTTTGTTTTCCTTTACAGGGCTACTTCAAGGAACAAATCAAAGCACACCTGGTGGATGGTCCAAAACATCACTACGACTAGGGAAATAAAATAACCAAAGTCACAACAGAGAGCAAGTCACACTCTCCAAAAAACACCTCCTGAAGGGCCAGGCCCTGGACAGTGTATGACCCCCCTTTAATAATTAATTCTTCATTAAGATAAAAGAGATGTGAATATGTACCAAATAATATATCATGAATATTTTAATTTTTTAATGTTTATTTTTGAGAGAGAGAGAAACGGAGCACAAGTTGGGAAACTTATGTACATAATAGGTTAACATTTATTTTTCAAACATCTACCTTCCTACTAATGGTCTTTCTCAAGACCCTTTGTATCCTCAGATCCCTACCCTCCTCCTCATTTCCTATAAGCCTCCTGTTGCCTCACAGTCTTTAGATTTTCAATGTCTGTGTAGATTCCCCATAAGTATGCTATTAAATTTGATTTTCTCCAGTTGTTCTCTGTCACATCAATTTATTTAGTCCAGCTAGAAGGACTTTAAAGGAAAGAGGAATACTTCCTCTCCAACAGAAGAAATTAAAAGAATGAGAAGCTATTTGAGCCATCTGTGAATAAATAAACTTCAAAACCTGGGTGAAATTAGTAATTTTCTAGAAAAATACAGTATATCAAAATTGGCCCCCCAGAAGACAGAAAATCAAGGGACCACTTACCATATAATAAAAAGTTTGTACAAGTTAATCTTTCCTCAAAACACTAGGTTTGGACTGTTTACCAAATCAGGTACAGGCCATTTCAATGTTTTGTTTTATTTTTTTTTAAGTTTATTTATTTATTTTGAGAGACAGAGTGAGTGGGGGAGGGGGAAAGAGAGGGAGAAACAGTCCCAAGCAGGCTCTGCACTGTCAGCACAGAGCCCAACTCGGGGCTGGACCTCAGGAACCATGAGATCATGACCTGAGCCAAGATCAAGAGTTGGCTTAACCGATTGAACCATCCAGGTGCCCCTCAATGTTGTTTTTTTTAATATCCCAGAACACAGAAAAAGGAATGGTTCCTAGCTTTTTTATTGAAACGCACATGACATTTATACCTAAAACTGAGAAAGAAAAAAAGCTACAGACCAGTCTCACTTTCAAATGCAAACCTCCTAACTAAAATTTATCAATAAAATTCAGCAGCATATTAAAAGAATATATCATGATCAAATGGGGTTTATTCTGGAAATGTGAGGATAATTCAATATTATGAAATAGTGCCATAATTTATTTTATTAATAGATATTGGGGAAAAAAACAAGATCATTTTCACAGAAACTGAAAAGGTATGTAGTAAAAATTCACTATCCACAGGAATGTGAATACTTCTTTAATGTATGAGTATCTGAGTCCCTTACTCTAATATAGTAAATTACCAAACTGAGTTTTTTCTGGATGAGTTGGAAAAATTCTTTATTAGAATTCTTTACATCAGTCTAACGTATGCATCAAGGATAGTTTTACCAGAATCTTTCCATTTTTATGTATTCAAATGTATCAAACTCTCCTTTTATAGTTATGAAGGGAAAAACTCTCTAAAGGCCTCTGAAGGGCAACCATTTTAAATTTCCTTCTAAGTCAGCATGACTGTACATAAACTTCGTTCAAACCAAAAGCCTGATTTATGGCCTGCCAGGCATGCATTATACATCTGCTTTGTAAATGAGCAGCCTAAAGGAAAACCATCTTGTCCTTGAGATATTGATCAATGCCTCTACTCCCTGCATTTGATGATGTTTAAAACACATGATTCCTGCCTATACGCTAATCTATAATCTTTTGAGCTTTTACAAGATGTTAAAAAGTATATAACCCTATTAACATGTTCATTCTCTGGAGCACTTTCCTCCCTGTGAATATTGTGTTTCCCAGGCAGCTGTCCTAATTTGGGCTCAAATAAAACTCTATTTTTTAAAATATATATGGATTAGAGTTCTCTCTCTGGTAACTTTGTGTCAGCAATAGCATTTAGATTTTGTGCCTTACTAAGAAAGGTCTTCTCCTTTCTGAAACTATATAAAACATCACGCTTTTTCTTTATGTATTTAATGTTTGATTTTCAAGTATTTAATTCACCTGGAATTTACTGTGGAAAAAAGATTAAGGAGCAGTGCCAGTTTTGTCTTTTCTGCAGAGTTGGCCTATTTTCCCAACACTACACTAAACTTTTACTCCAATGATTTGAAATGCCAGCTTCTCCTAAACTAAGTTCCATGATAGATTTGGGTTTATTTCTGGGTTTTCCCTGCTGTTCTACTGACAAGTATATTAAAAAGATAGTATCAAAGTTGTTTCAATATTTGTATCTTTATAGTATACTTTAATATTTAATAGTGGTCCAACTAATTTTTATTACATATTAAAAAGACAAAATTTTGATACAGAAAAAACTTGTGAAATTAGGATGGAATTCAAAGAGAAAATATTTTATCCTCTTACAACTTTTTGAGAATGTATAACATCATTAAAAAAGGACATTTACTGGGCACCTACTGTGTTCAAAAACTTTGGTAAGGAACAGAGGTGAAAGACATGATGTTATATAAGTTAAGGTTAACTGAGAGTTTCATTCTAGTGAGGGAATCTGCTTGCTTCACAATCGGGGCTCATTCTCTCTCTCAATCTTTTTCTCATACACACTGTCTACATAATCAGTTTTCATCCTCTTTCTGTCTCTCTTACACATGCACTCACATGCACATCCTACATTGTTACACTTATACATACCTGTTTGATTTCTTTAACAGCCAGAGTAACTGAGAACAAGACTGCCTAACTAATGCTGCTCTGACAGGAAATGTTACAGGCAGATTTAGGTCCTTACATATATATTCCATTTCTTTCACCATTGTCCAACTGTAACCTGAAATTAAAGAAAGAAATTCCATTTTTCTAACTGGAATACTGAAAGTCATTAAATAAGAAACTAGGGGAGCCTGGGTGGCTCAGTTGGTTATGGGTCTTGGTTTCAGCTCAAGTCATGATCTCCAGGTTTTGTGAGTTTGACCCCTGCATCCGGCTCCCTGCTGACAGTGACGAGCTTGATTGGGATTCTCTGTCTCCCTCTCTCTCTGCCCCTCCCCCACTCACTCTGTCTCTCTCTCAAAATACATAAATACATAAAACTTATTAAAAAAATAAGAAACTAAGTTAAATTACTTACAAATAGGTAAATTCAGATAATTTATAAAAATTTCCGTTTGGATACAGAGTGACTTA